CTTTGACTGTGTTGTTTTCTGGACTTTTCTTGGTAGACGTTCTCTGTCTACACTCATTCATCAACGTCAGTAAAGGTGTTTTGATCCCTCTAACAGAAACCCTGGAGAAAACAGAGAGCATACCATAAAACCAGTTAGTAAAACTAGACAATGAAAAAACACGATGAAAAGAATAACACCTGATGAGACAATGAGTCACAGATTATAATAAACAATATTCCTATTTATTTGGACTTTAGTAAATATGAAAAGGGCAGCAGCAACCAGTTACTTTTAAGTTAAACTAAATAATACAGATTTTAAAACTCAAATCCTAATTCCAGCCAACAGGTGGTTTCCTTGATGAAGTTTTCATTCTGAACTGTGTTATAGTGCCACCTTGTGGATACATACGATATATTCAGATATAACAGTGTTGCCATTCTGTTTTGTCTTCATTAAGGAAAAGCTTAAACTGAACTTAAGAGAATTGTACCATTTTAAAGGTTGATATAAAACTATAAATAATAACTCCACCATATAGGTGATATTTGCACATAAAATATTCAGACTATGTTCATTCATTTAATTTCCTTTTGAAATCAGTTTATTTTTTTAAATTTAATAATAATGCAAACATGATAAATACAAAGAACCTACAACAGAGCCCTGTGGTACCCCCTTATGAACTTAATAGAATGAGCAGAAATCCTCATACTAAAGGTCTGAATGAAGGGGAGTAACTGACACCAGATATCATGATAACTGCATTTAAATGGACATTTTGTTTTGTTTACACTTGTGTATACAAAATAAATCTATCTAAGTCTAAAAAAGATTGAAGGTAGAAATAGAACCACATCACAAACTAAATTACTTTTTGTACAAAAATGTTCTCACCCTTCCTTAGGCGTTTCTCTTAGTGGTGTTTTGTTCTGCTCAGGGCCCCTGAGGAAAGAAAAGTTGTAGTTTATAACCAGTATTAAGATGCTTTAACAGCTTGTAGATGAAAAAGGTTAATGAAGAAAATTACCTGTTTTTATAAGTTTTATATCTCCAGTAGCTGAAGATTGCGAGACAACAAGAACAGGCCAGAGTTACCACAACCACTGCGTAGATCCAGTTGAAATCTTTCAGAAAAATAAGAAAAATGTTACAGAATCAATAACTTAAACAGAAATTAGACAGCAAAAATAGAGTTTAAACTTACTCTGATCTACAGACTCTTCCCTCGGGTCTAAATCCACAGACTTTTCTTTTAAACCTGTCAAAGAAAACAAAGATCAGAATCCAGAACTGAGCATGCATGAGAGTCTTGAAAAGAGTTCCTCACCATCATCAGATGTTGCTTTAACTCCAGGAACGGTGATCAGCTTCTCTCTGGGAGCAGCAGAGAGCACTGACACTGAACATCCAACCTGTGTGCTGCTGGAAGCTGACAGCAGAGCTGTGGTGGTGACGGTGACTGTACCGTTGCTGTGGGTCACACTGCTGCTGTCGTAGTGGGAGAAACTGAGGTTCTGCTGTAGAACAGTCAGTGTTACAGTGGGAGCAGGTCGACCTGTGGCTGAACAGGACACAACTGACTCTGCAGAAACATTTAATCTCCTCACATCAAGGATGGGTTCATGCAGCTCTGGGAAGAGAAAAATAAGAAATCATGTGATTTCATGAGAGTTGGAGCGATTATTACTTTATAATTCTGCTCTAATAAACAAATGTTTTCTGTTTCCTTTTTTGTGAGATGCTCTAGCAGTGTGCAGACGTCATCTTTCTAAACTGTTCATATTCCAGCTACTAACTTCTGTTTATTTTTGTAGGATTTTATATAAAACACCAACACTGTATATTCCATAATTATAAAGATTTAAAACAATCAAATATTCATCCATCCATCCATTTTCCGTCACGCTGGGGTCGCAAGGGATGCAGGGGCCTATTTCCAGCTGTAAAAGGGCGAGAGGCTGGGTACACCCTGGACAGGTCGCTATCTCGGGGCAGACGAGTCATAACATGAGATATAATTGTATTTAATATAATTCATTTCAGCATAAGTAAGGAAACAGATCTTCTGGAGCACATCCATCAGATTTGTATGTCAGTAGAATGAAATGTTTGCCTGTTTTCCTTTTTTTGCAAAATCCCTAAAGCTGTGTGAATTTTATTGGAGAGTATCTATGAACTTCCATACTGGTTGTAGGAGAAAAATGGAAATAAGGTGCATGGTGAGCCTGGTTATGAATGTGTGCTGTGGAGGCGGAGAGCCAAATGCAGGTGTTTGTGTGCACTATGAAAGTAAGTTTATAGGTGAGCACTCACCTGACTCACTTGATGAGAGCTCGGTAGGGGCTGCCATAATTTTGTTTGACTGCTTCAGGTCGTTTTTCCTACAAATTAATCAACTGATCTGACATTGGGTTCTACAATCATCCCTGCTGCACTGTCATAACTTGTGCTGGTGCTAATAAACCAAACAAAAAGCATTTGGGACGTCAGCATATCTGCAACAAACTTTTGGGGTGCTATGAGAGCTATTGGGGAGTGGTGGGTCCCTGAGCAAGACCCTTAACCCCTGATTACTACCCAGGCACTGCGATACTGGCGATGAAGCTCATATATTCAATGAGATTTCAGGTCTAGGTCTCTGACCAGGCCATTTTAACTCATGAATATGTTTGATCTAAATAGCCTTATTGCAGCACTTCCTGGTAATTTAAGTTCAGTATCATGCTGGAAAGTAAATCCCTATCCTGGTTTCACATCTTTTGAAGCTTCTGCAGCTTTTCTTGGAATAAGAAAACTATATTATTTAGTTCTGAATAAGTCTTCCTGTTCCTGCTGCAGAATAAAAACATCTGATTTAGGTTTATATTTTAAATCTATTACCGGTAATTAAATTGAAATCTGTTAAGAAATGTATCTTCTATTAATTTTGTAATTATTTTTCAAAGTTGAAAAAGGGGCTAATTGTTATGGGTTGAATAGCTGAGATGTTCTCATCTTCCACAGCATGTCTCCTTTCCTCACCATAGAGTCTGAGGCAGGTCCAGCCTATCAGGGCTCCTCCAGGATAGGTGTTAAACAAACATCTGTAGCAGCCTTCATCCTCCTCCGTCACCTTCCTGATCACCATGGAGCAGCTCTGAAGATTTTTGTGCTGAAAAATCATCTTCTCCTTCAGATCATCGTTCATTCTACAACCAAATTTCTTGGTGTAGGTGGCGAGATTCTTCTCTCCATCAGGGAGGACTTTCTGCCAGGTGATCTGGAGGACATCTTTTTCCTCCTTGAGCTGACAGTTTAGAGAGGCTTGGTCTCCTACTGCTGTCCACACAGTCTGCTGGGTTTGAATCAGAGCCTCACCTGTATGAAGGAGATCAGGAGACTGTAACCTGAACTTGGCTTTTACAACCACCTCATAAAACCCTTACACTTTATCTGTTTTACCGAAAAAGGATCAGGAGCGCCGTGAAAATTGGTCAGATCCGCCTCTCTGGCCGCAATGCTCGCTCCCGTAAAGGGGAACAGATTTTCGCAAATAAGTCACAAGACCGGAAAAGTCGGATCAACGCCGTTTCAGAAGCGGACGCGACCTGGGTTCCAGCTTTCCAAGCCGAATTCCAGGCTATTCATCAGACCACACCACATTTTTTGTCACTTTAACTACGATGCCACATGGAGGAACTTTGTTTAATTTTCTTAATTTTCAACTGTGGAGCATCACCTCTGAAAAGTAAGAATAATCACTGCTTATGCTTTTTATGCAGAAAGTTTGATGTTATCCTTTTCCTCCCAAATGCTCAGTCTTTTATTTGTGAGTGTTTGCCATTTTCGGGCCGTCTTTCAGCCTGATCATATAATGTAACTAAAAAAATTAGAGCGAGTGAGCGAGCAGTGCCGGCCCGAGCCTCTTGGGGGCCCTAAGCAGAATTTGATTTGCGCCTCCCCTACCATGTAGAATCAGTATAATGTAATAGTGAATATTGTAAATGAGTACACTACAGTTATGTATTAATACAAATAAATAAACAATACTTTCTTTTATTAAAACTTTTGAATACAAACATATGAAATAAATTATTTGCAAATGTTCATTAAATGTGCATTCATGTATTTTAAATAGACAAACATTAATATATTTAAAAAATAGAATGTTACAAGAATGATACTAAAATAATGAAATCAAACATAAGAACAGCAAGGGTTCAACTATGACCTCAAAATCATTCCTTCCTAGCTTCTCTGGTGGAAAAGTCACTGATGACATCATTGTATGCATTGCTTGGCCAACTTCTGTTATTAATACTAATCACTGCAAATCCAATTAGTCTTTCCAGGGCCATTGATGATCTCAAGTATGATTTTATTATTTGAGATTGGAAAAGCTCCTCTCTGCAGAGGCAACTGTCACAGGCAGAGTGCAGGCTCTCTGGAGAGCTACCCAATGATTTGGGTAAAGCTCACACATCTCATTTTGTGAGAGGTATGCGAGAAGCTTTAATTCTTGCAGGTTTCTTATATTTTAATTTTAGCTCTGTGTCCTGTTAGTCTGGCTCTCTCTGTGTTGGCTGGCACAGCTTTTTCTGAGTCTGGTTAAACTACAAAAGACAAAAAGATATGTTGAATTTTATTATAGCATTGCGTATTTTTTCTTGTAAACTTGGAGATATATTTTATTGCATGTTGCATATCCCAGTAAATCCGTTTCGCTTTTAAATCAGCAGCTCTCCCAAATTGTGTCTCTACTCTGCTTAAAAACAGATTTATGAACCTGTCTACCAATATAATGATGCCATTTTCATGATTTTTAGAAGCTCTGCAGTCTGATTCCCTGTTCAATGAGAAAAAAACAGATATGTGTTCATTTTAATCTGTAACTCTGAGCAATTGTCCTCTGATAAGCCCAGCTTTTTAACCTATATAAATGTACACTCTGTTGCCATTTTTTAGCTGAAAAAGCTCTTTATGTGTAAGAAAGGAATTTTTCGGTAGCATCTCTCATTTTTTTTAACCATCCCGTCTCCTAACTTTTACTGAAACATATAATGAAGTGTCTCTCCTCCTCCACGTAGCTACTCTCTATGCAGTGAATAGCGACCCCAAATAATATTATGTCCCAAAGCGATAGATCCAATGATATTTCAAGAGGCTGGGTCCTTTGAAGGACGCAGCCTGCCAATTGAGACGCAGCTTGTGTGTTGCGAATGGGGGCACTAGGGTGGGAAGGCGTGATTGAGATTAGACTATGTATTTGTTGTTGTGTTTTTTGTATTTGTCACGTTAGGGGCTGAACTGCTCCCTCTCCCAAGAACATCTAAAGTCTCCGCTAAGAACAGAGCCCATTCCTGCCCTCCCTCCGCTGGCTGGTGCCTGGGCTCGCCAGTACACTGGTTAGGCTCGGTGTTTGGGGTTGGATGCCTGAGCAGGTACTGGCTTATTCCTGGTGGCTGCTCCACAGGGCCTGGGCCTCAGGGGACCCGTCATAGGGTGGGGCACCCCTGGGTCTTTGGGTCCCTGGGGCCAGGGCCGGATCCACTTTAGGGTAGTTGGCTTGCGGCGGAGCACACAGACTCGCCCCCCCACTCCTGGGGGTTCCGGTGTTGCAGTGGCTTGGAGATTTCCTCGGGGCTGTCTTTCCTCCTCCCTTGGTGGGGGGGCGGATTTCCATGTTTGGCCCCTCGTGGGCACCTTTGCTCTTTGGGTCCCTCTGGGCTTCAGGGGCTTTGTGACTCTTAAGGGAGAGTCACAGTTTGTTTCTACATATTAAAACCGTCTTACAGGATCTGTTGATATTACTGTTCCTAATGCTGCATTCACACCGGATGCAGCAGGAGCAGCAAAAACGCACTTGATGCTTCTTTTTTGCTGTGTGTACCAGTTTAGTCCTGACGCACGGCTGAAGCAGCTTTGCTGCTCTCGCTGCGTGGTTGAAAAGTGGGTCTGACGCGCGTTGGGCAGAGCTACCCTATCCTTTCTTTGCCTTGTAGCTATATTTGCTGTGATTAGTGGATATAAAGTAGTTTTAATGTTTTTAAGTGGGAAAATCCACCTGAAAACTTAATCAGTGCAGTCAGTTCATCCAGATTACCATCCTATCTTCAAATATTATTTCTCTGTCAGAGCCGCTCGGACCCCCCCATACCGGCGGTGCGCTGTCAGTAGGAATCCCGTTCAACAGTAGCCTATGGCCCGGTCGCCTCCTTGCGGTCCGCCACGGCGGCTGGAAGCAGTTTTCATGTACATAATTCAAACTTCAGGCACCAGGATAATAAAAGGGAACATGTTTTGTCAGCAGGTTTCAGCATTTAAAGTTAATTTAGGTGTTAATAAACTGTGTTTATAAACGCGTTTGCGGCACGTCACGCACGTCAGATGCTTAAACGCTCCCGACGCGCTGCTTCAGCTGCTCAGACGTCTATGCAAGGCTGATTGGTTTAAAAACACATGACTTCTGACACGTGAACAACACGGGCTTAACGCGTTGTTTGCGCTTTGTCAACGTTTTGTCTTCGCCTTTTAAGCGGCCGCACGTAGTTAACATGTTGAGAGCGCGTAAAGAACGCGTCAACTATGCGTTGACAACATGTCAAATACGCGTCACCTACACGTTGATTTCATGTGATTTTCAGCCATTTGGCCACTTTTCCATTTTGAGCTGGTGTGTGTGCTTTTTCCCATTGGCTGCTAAGTAGTAGGGTTAAACCACTTCTTGAAAGCCGGGGGTGGTTTGCCTGCAGCGCATACCACTTTCTTCTCTTACCTTCTTCTGCTTCTTGAAGTGTATTTTTCAGTTGGCGATAAACTGAAGGTGCGAATTACCGCCACCTACCAGTATGGAAATTGATACAGAAAAACGTATTTATCTTTTCATTTATTTCAGCCTTAAATTTTGTCACTTGTGTTAATACAAAAATATATACATATATAAAAATGTTTATAATTTTACTTCAGAATCTTTCAGCAAAATATTTGGAAGATTTAATTTTTCTTTCATGTTTTCTAATTCAATTTTTTTCTATTTCACATGATCCACATTATAATACATGTTCTATTGTTTCCATTTCATCCTGTATCTTAGTTTTTTTTATTTACAAATAATGTATCATTAAGTCCTGGTTGGCCAAACCTTAATATTTGAATTATTATTTCTTGCCTCCTTTCTCCTTCCTCTTCTCATTTCCCCCAACCTTTTGAATCTTATACCATCTTCCTT